TTACAATTATTATATCCTTCACAGGGTTATCATAGATAGTTTTAAAAGTATTTATTAACTGGTATTACTGAATACCTTGGTAGTGCTTACCATTTCACATGAGCAACAAATAACAGTAATGACAATTATATTAAGTGAATTACAGAGCTGTTTTTGTTTCATATTATTTTATGTAAGTTATCTATCATACATATTACATTTATTTTAAAACCAATAAAGTGAAAGGAAATCATACATTCCTGCTTTATGAAGAACTTTTTTGTATAACATATATTAGCATAACATATATTAACATAACATATTCCTTTCTTTTTCGTTCTTTTTCTCTTTTTCTTTCTCTTTCTCTCTCTTTTGCCCACCTTTCCTCTCTCCTTCCCTTCCTCCCTCCCTCCCAACAATGCCTGGGACATTTTTCCCCTCAATGAAATGAACTGTACATGTACTTCATCTCCCTTGTCATATTGATCATCACTGTTTTTGCTATGGGATAATATTACTGATAGGTGAGTTTGTAATTTCAAAAGAGGGATTTTGCTTGATAATGCCTGGCATATATTTTGGGAAAATATTTTCCATGTATTTATATTTGATTTTGGTAGATTAGGAATTGAGCTCTAACATTTTTGATGTCATTGTTTTGAAATTAATAATTTAAATTGAAAATCAATCTTTTGTATCTTATTAATTTGAACATAAGGATATTAGCAAATAAATTACATATTAAAAGGCTTATTATTGCTCCTTTCTTCTTATGATGATAAATGATTCACAAAAAGTTTTTCTTGCCAAAGCAACTAGCCTGGATAAATTATTCCATCTTTATTTTCATTTCAACAATTATAAACCTGAATTTGTTTAGTGCCTTTTTTTTTTTAAAGAAAGTGAGAGACAGGGCTGAGGAGGGAAGGTGGGTGGGGGGCTAGTTCAGTTTATCAAGTATCAAATATAGTAAACACTGTTCATTTTAATTTAAAGATTTAATTTAAAGATTATATTTATTCAGTTAATTTCTGATTGCTCCATTATTCCCTATACAATTTCAATTCTTATGTAAGTTTATATGTTTTATAGGTTTAGCAAGTTTAGCAAAACTTTTAATTTTCTGATTTTTTTGTCAGAGAGACAGACATCCATGAAAGAACTTTAACACAATAGAATATTATATGGAGAGTACATATTTTAAGACAATCTCTGGGGCTTAAAAAGATGAATTGACAAGTTTGGCAACATCATAGTCTAAGATTTTCAAATGTGTATTTTTAAAGTGTGTTATGATTTATAATCTACCTTCCTCTGCATTATATCATGTAATTACTTGGTTTAAACTCTCAATCTGGTTTTATATAATTCTTTGACAGTGGTAGACATCACTTAAAACGAATAGTATTATAATCACATTGTTTCAAATAATATAGTTTCAATATTTTAAATTTTAAAAGGCTGAAATTTTAAAAGGCTTTCACAATTTATGAAATGGCCCTCTTATGTTTGGAGCTGAGGCATGAAAAGACCAGACATTTTGATTGAAGATCAATGTCAAATATTTGCATAGAGCAGGTTCAGAATTTGTCACCAAGGTAGAGTGTACCCTCGGACGTGTTTACTAGTTGTCTTAGAATTGGTGAGAGCAGATTGAGAGGTGGTCCCTCATTGCTCCATGTTGAGGGGCTCTCTTGTACGTTGATAACTGCTTTTCAGGGCTGCCTCTGAATTCCTGCGGAATATTTTCAAAGTAAGGTTTGATTGTCTTTTCCTTTGATAAGCTTAAGAGCTTTCATGTCTTAAATAGAAGCAATCATTAGCACTTTTAACTTGATATTTTTATATGGCTACTTGAAAGTGTGCTAACCTCAGTGGCTGATTACACTGTTAAATTAATATTTTCTGATAGTTTACTTGATACATTTCTGAGACTGTAATTGAAAGCAGGGCAAAGTCAGGTATACCTGAAACTGACTGAATTTGTCATGTAAATTTCTCTTTTCCTCCCCTCAAGAGCTAGTTGGCCTTAAGAAAAGTTTTTAGTATGAAGATACTAGTTTCAAAGAAATTTCAGTCAATTCAGAAATGACGTTCTCCCAGCATGCTGTGGGGGTTAACTGTAATTAATCCCAACAGCTTTTGTCGTCTTTTATGTGTGACATTTGTCAAAAAGCCGTATAGTTTCAGCTTATCATGGTGTATCTGGACTGTTTTGTTAAAGCCAGAAAGTGTATTTACTTCACTCTAGGAATAAATACCTCTGGTTATTGCACAAGTCATTTTTGTGATGAGTATGTAATACTTTACAGTCAGTTTTGCTTATGCAGGTGTCTGACATTCTGGACTAACTCCAGTGTAAACTTCAGTGTCAGGCCTTTTCCCAGGAAGAGGTACAGTATCTCCCACAGAGGGACCACTCACCTGTTGTTTCAGTTATCTGGGCGTGTATTTAAAGAAGACCAAACTTCATAGCTAGTAAGAAGAATAATTTATTATTCCTCATAATTCTTTTGGTTGATTGGGGGTGCTTCTCTTTCAGTGTCAAATGGGGCATTGGGATACCTACAAGGTCCAAAATAGCCCACGTAAATGCCTGACTCTTAGTGAGAGATCAGGTGGCGCTTTGGACAGGGACATTATTTATTCTCCACACTGGCTTCTTGTTGCTAATTGAGCTTCCTCACAGTATGATGGTTATGTTCTAACAAAGAATACGCCAATGGGTGATGACGAAATCTGTGCATCTCTTAAGACTCACATCTCAAAGTCTCACAGTGTCACTCTTGCCACATTTAATTTTTCAAAAGTGTTTGTAGGATGAAATCATAGAAAGGGAAGTGAAATAGATTTGCCTCCCTTTGACTGTGAATAAATACAATTTATTTATTGAATGAATGTCAGTTAATTGCTTGCTATGTTGAAAATCTTGTAGATGTTGAATGCTTAAATATGCATTTTTGCTCGTTCATTTACTCATTAATTCTCTATTTGTCTCACAAAAGATGAACATTTATTGCAGTTTGTGTAAAACACTCAAAAACAGCATCACAAACAGAGTAATATAAAATAGGGAGCTTTATCCTAGGAAACAAAAAGGTCATGTAGAGAAATTCATACATGTCTCAATTCTCAAACTTAGCAAAGATGTGCATATTTCAGGAACATCTTTTTATTATAAAGCTATCAATGTTATCTTTCTTAGAATGGTGTGGTGGGTATATGCACGTGTGTGTTTTAAAAGAATGCTGTGATCTTCTGCAATCATGTCAAGTATGTGAAAGTAACGTTTTTCTTTTACATGTCCTCCTCTGTTCATGGGTATTTCAGCTTCAGTTTTGTTAAAAACAAGCTATAATCTCAAACCCAAGTCACTGATACAACCATACATTTCCACACTAGGGAAAAAAAAAGACTAGGTTATATTTTATAAAGATGCAAACTCAGTTTTGCATGTTTTCTTAGGTATTCCCTAGTGTTGAATTTTAATGAAGTAGGGAATTGTTGATAGAAGGAAAATGTTTTTGATTTGATTTCTCATTTCATGTAGTTTTTTTATGGGACTCACTATATAGTTTCTTCTGTAAATAGGTCATAGTTGAATATATTGCTTTACCGAGTTACCACTTGTCGCATGTAATCTCAGCATCTTATGCAAGTAAAAACCCATTCCATTCTCAACTTACAAGGTTTATTTAGTAGAAGTGTAACATGAAATATAGATGCAGAAATATGTAATTTACAATAATTAATGTACTCATATTCATCTAAACCTTATCAAACAGTATTGCTTTGTACATTGCAATGATGAAAATAATTTTAAAAATACATTCTATGAGTGTGCTGGTTACTGTGATGGCCACACACCCTATTTAGGATGACTGCCCGCCAATTAAGTCCATTCCTATATTAGGACCTTTGCACTTTCTGAGATTTCTACTAGAATGTTCTTCTCTAGAAATTGTTATAACTTGGCTTCTTCATAGCTTCCTCACATCTTTACTGAAATGTTACTTCTCTGTGACAACCCTCTCAGTCCTACAATATTTTTTATCTCCATCTCTAGTTTTTTCCACAATATTTATCACCATCAGACAGATTATATATTAATTTATCAGTCTGCTGCCTCCCCACCCCATTAGATGTAACCATTGTGACTATAGGAATGTTCTTTATTTTAAATAATGCTCCTAACTATATCCCCAGCACCTAGAATAGCTACTGATACATCGTAGTCACTTAGAAATCTTTTTGAATAAATGAATGGAGCATTATTGAGGAAATGATAACTCAGCATTAATCTGAATGAATATTTATTTAACAAATTCATCTTAACCTGTGTTGATATATACTTTGCTATGTGGATTCTTTTAGAGGATTTTTAGTAACTTTATGACAGGTTGAAGTTCCCAACAACAGTAGGAAATACACATTAGTTTGTACTTTGACACATCCCAACAAATGTAAGAAACAAATACCTTTAATATGAAGTCTTTGAATGGTATAAAAATGTTTTAACATTTGATTAAAATTTAGTGTGACGTCTATTTTCATAGTAAGCTCAGAATACATATTTTCAGGTGACATGAGTCCTTGTGGTTTCACTCTGATCTTGGATTGTAGAGACAGTGGCTTCAACTTTGATATTCATCCCCATTATACCAATCATTAATGTGTTTCATGATCCTGAATAACATCTATAAACTTTGTCATGTGTATGTCTTAAAGTATTCATTAGTGCTTTGCTCTAGTTGAATTGACTTTGATAAAATTTATATTAGAGGCCTTCAACAGCCCAATTTTATTTTAGCTGTTCAATTTAGGATAGTACTTCACACACAATTGCTATCATACTCCTAATGTCCTGGAAAGCCAATATCTTTGTAAAAATATACTTTCGTTATGTTTTTGATGGAGATTGGCACTTGACAACTTGACAGGCTGGGCAGCCTTATTCCTATTAAGATGTATGTATGCCTTGTCCAAATCACTTTAGTCACTTGCTCCAAGTGTTTTACAGAACGTTTGCTCTTCTGTGAAATAAAGGAAATTGTCTAGATAAAGTAGATAATTTTTACAATAGTCTTTAATGATATTTAGATTAAATAGTGCAATATAGATGATAACTCACCCAAGCAGCAACCACTGTGCATACATTTCATTATACACTTGGTACAAACAATAGGAGTAATAGGTAGCAGGTCTTGAGAAGTTACTATTCCTCAGGCACGGTGCTATTACTTCACGTAAATTATTTTATATCGCCTGTACTCCAACCTTATGAGACAGGCATTAATTTATAATTTCCAATTGCAGGGACACCAAGGTTAAATAATTTGCCTGGGTCATACAACTGATAAATTATGAAGACAGGATGAAAATGCTTGTGGTTTGACTTCAGAATCCAGTTTCTTAATCCCAGTGCTTTGCTGCCTCCCACACAACTGTGAATAACAGAGCCACTGCAGCTACTGTCTATGAGAGAGAGAAGCGAACAGATCTGTCTTTACCATGTGGTGAATTTTATGGGAAGGGTGAGTAGATGTCGTGAGCACACATTAGACCAGCTATGAGTGGTAAGAAATCAGTCCAGGAACCGCAATGAGAATAGAGATGTGGTTTGTTTTCTCATCATTATACTTCCCAACCTGGCACTGGCAAAACTTTGTAGGAAAAGGCACAGATCAGATGTGACGTCTAAGCAAAATCTAAAAATCTTCAAAGTGTGGAATCTGGAGGATTCTCTTTTGAGAATTTCATGTGGATCAAAGGTAGATGAGGTGAGAGGCCTTGTTCTAGGCCATGTCATATTCTTAATCTACTATATCACACTCTTCGCTGACCAAGAAGATTTAAATGTCAAAGTCCAGTTTACTATAATGGCACTAAATTGGAAAAGTAACAAAAAAGTAAATAAAAGCCAAAGTCAGTCCTACCAACAGTATAAACTCACATTCTCACTTAAATGACAGAACAATTTAATAGAGATATACAATTTAATGTTAATCAGCAAATTTTAATGTTAATGATCTTAATAGGAATTTACCAGAATATTAATTAGCTAAAATATTAAAATATGAGAAAGGAGAAGAATATTCACTGTCTGATACATATATACCCACAAAAATATTACAAGGAGAGTTTGCTTCAGTATTTTTTCCCCAATGCTCTGGAGAATTTTTACTGTTCTTGGGTAATTTTTGTCTGTTTTATTTAAAATACTTTTAAGAGAGGTAATTTAGTTTATTGGTGTCGCACTGCTGACAAAAACATACAGTCAAGGTTAAGAATTTGGGGAGAAAAGAATAAAACCAGGACATCAGTTTCTATGAGACATGGGGAATGCTAATGACTTCATATGTCAAGGGAATACTTTAAAGTTGGGATTTGTGAAAAAAAAAAAAAGAAGAAAAGAAAAAAGAAAAAACAAAGAAAGTCGTCTTATATTAACTTGAAAGAATGCTTGAACATTCTCTGCCTTTACCATAGGGTAGATGATTTTGGCACTTGAAAGGGTGATGGCATCATACAGTGGTTCTCAAAATGGGTCTCTTAGAATCCCTGCAAAGATGCTTAAAGGACTAATGTCTGGGCTCCTCCTTAAGATTAAGATTTAATTGGTCCTGAATGCAGACCTGGGCATGAGTACATTTCTGAAAGCTCCTAGGTGATTCTAATGCACAGTCATTGTTGAGAATAAATAATCCAGGGCTCTGTATCAAAATAAATTTGGGGTGATGGTGGAAAAGTTAATATCCAAATAGCAGTGTCCTGATGTCATGTCCCAGTCTCTTGCCAAATTTTCACTCAGTAAATATGTAGAATGTTAATATTTAAAGAAACTGTTCCTTGTTCCCAAGGTACTTCTAATAAAATGAATCAATATTGAAAAGCCTAGGCTGTTTCTAAGAAAAGCAAATAAAATGTATTCTTCGGGACACTGTTCACCAACTGCTGTCATTTTAACACTTGTGTAGCCTGTTTTTACAAACAGAGCTTATGATTTAGAGAGAGAAGGATAACTGTGAATAGACTTCACTTATACATGCATTTGTCAGAGGTGATAGAGGAGTCAGCACAAATTTAGTCCATGTGGACCAATGACACCATATTCTCAGTAGGAGGAGAGTAATATGCATATGCAACAGGATGATGCATTTTCCAGAAATCTGATAGGACCACGGAGCAAGTTAATATGACAGCTTAATGTTCTACAGTCGTGAAGAATAACAGATAACACTCATACATACCGATGTTTACCGTTACTGTTTTGGCTTTAGATTTATGCCTATGAATCAATAAGAATGCCAGCCTGAAAATCAAATTCATCTAATGTGTGCTTGATGTGGTTTTGTTCCGCACTTTTACTTTTGATGACAGATGAAGGGGTAGGGAAGGCGCACATTGGAGGGTCCTTAAATTCATGTGCCAGGTGCTCATGGGACATTTTCTCTTGAAGGTACTCATTCAGTAACCTCATCTTTGACTAACTTTCTCCTTATAGTCAATTTCAAGCATATCCTTTTGACTCTTAAAATTGCTTTCTTCCTTCCAGAATTTTTTCTTTTTCACTTATAAAAAATCACCTTTTTCTTTATATTCGCTAACTCTTTGTACTAACGTAACTATCAATGTTTATCACTTTCTTTTCTTCTGAAAATTTGCCGTATAGCCACTTTGGAAAATTGTTTGGCCTTATCTTCCAAAGTTTTACATGTGTTGTACTGTTACCCAGCTTCTCTGTTCTTATATCTATTGACAACAGAAATGAAAAAGATATGTTTCATAGCAGCACTGTTTCAGTTAGCTACAAATCAGAAACAATGTCATCACCAATCAGTGTTAAAGTGGAAAAAAATGCATTGTGGTATATTCACACGATAATTACTGTACATAAATGAGGTATATAGAGATCTACAGTCAGGCATAATATGGTTGAATTTTCCATGTATCATGTTGAGAAGAAGGAATGAGAGAAATTAAAGTACATAATATATGATTACATTGATATACAGTGAAAATACAACCAGAGCTAATGTATTATTTTAGAAGAGAGGGATCATGGTGGTCTTGGCATGTTGCAATGGCAGTGACTACAAGGAAATACAAGGGATGCTTCTGGGCCACAGATACCATTGTCTTTCTTGACCTAGACTCTAGTTATTTTCATTTGTAAAAATTCATAGAGAGATAGCTTTGCGATACATGTATTTTTCTCCATACCTATTACACTTTAATAAAATGTTCAATAAATTACCAGAATCCAAGCTGCAACTCTAAAAATACTAAACATAAAAGATAGCTTTTTTTTCTTTTTCTTTTTTCTTAAAAATAATTGAAAGTACATACAAAAAGATGGAATTTGTCATTACTGTAAAGGGCAAAACATATTTCTGCATATTTTAAAACACCAGTATTTTTCATAAGTTAAAAAACAACCACTCCCTTACTTTTATATTTGTGAGTTTGAACTTATACTATACTGGTCAATGGGAGTTTTAGCCATTTATGTGTCCCAGTAGGATTTATTCCAGGTCTACAATTATCTGGCTTTTTCCTTCTAATAGGTTTCTTAAACTTTTGAACTTAAGTATCTTATGTGTGTGTGTGTGTGTGTGTGTATACTTTTAAAAAGATTCAAAACTCAACTCACATGGTGGTAAATAAGAATACTGACATTTTGAAACTGATTATGGATTATGGAAGATAAGTTGTCTTTGAGAAATTCTAGTCCGTATTTTTATTTCAATTTCAGTGTCTTAGTAACTAATTCAGGAGGCTTTTACATTATATAATCAAGAAATTATAAAAGTAGTAAATGGAATTTAAGATTATTACAATTTTAAAACCATTAATATGAGCAAGTAAATGTGTTCCTGGTTTTTAAATGTAGTCTTATTATCACTGTCCTTTAAAAGGGTAAATCATGCTAATTAATTGAAGTACTAGAGTTATTACAAAATTGCCTATTTCTTATTTATATATCTTGTCTACAGAATTGCCCAGAAATAGCTAATCCTAGCAAAACATATTGTCTTTTTAAAGAGACATGTGACAGCCTTATAAAGACATAGTACCATGTAAGTGTAATTTTTAAAGAACAAATAACAATTGAAGAGATTCTCAAGTATGATAATTATGCACATAAATAATATTATGATTAGAAACTTCTGGTTTCAAAGTTTTTCCTAGAAATTCAGCTATTCCTATTGTCAAAAATATACAATAGTTCTTGTATTATAAATTTATCCCAATATATTTTCAGGATTCAGGAGCATAACATTCTCAAGAAAGTGTGTGTATGTGCGTGTGTGTGTGAATTACTAACTTAAATGAATATTTAAAAGTAAAATTTTAATACTATTAAAATACTATTAAATATTTAATACTATTAAAATTTAAGATACATTAATTTGTTTGAAATCTTTGTGTCTTTTGATAATTGTATTTCAAGCCATCATGATGAAAAGACAGTTGAACTCAGTCAATTCCTCTTCTCATGTTGCCTTATCTTATTTTCACTCATTGCTTTTCTATTTATTTGCTTCACAAGAAAGGCTCATATTTTGTATCAAATACTTATGGTAAAATAATGAAATTTGTTTTAATAAGCAAAGCTATATGGACAATATTTGAATATGATTTATTCAATATTGATCTCCTTCATTTTGGAACAGATCTGATTCAGTAACTAGGTATGATAAGGGTGGGAGGGCCATAGTTTGTTATTATGAAAATGAGAAAATATTGTTATTAGACATGGTTAAGCTTTAGTTATCATATAGTATGTGTTTGTGAGAGCATTTGTTAACACTGATTAAGTATTTGTAAAAGTCTGCAAATGCTGTCTACTCTCTTAAGAACAGCTATATGAAACAGTTAATAATGTGTTCCATGGGTTTAATAATACACAGTTTTCTATGTGATCTCCATTTGTTCTCTTATATCCTTAAATGTATGGTTTTTGGAGAAACTTTAAAGAGAATGCAAAACAAATTATTATTAGTCCCATTATAAAGAGAAGTGTACTAAA